TTTTTTATTAAAACGTATTGCAAATGCTTCATTTGTTTGAACTATTAAGCGTTAAAAGTAATTTTAATTATGAATCTGACTATAGAATGTGGAGCGCTTGCAGTGCAGGAAAATGTTAGGATAAAAGGAATTTATATAAAATTATAAACCCAATTTATTACAGGAATTAGAAATGGTACTTGATTTAAGGTTGTGGGATAAATAGAGGGTTCAAAGGCCAAGGGACTGAGTTGAGCAAAACTGTTTAGTTAAGTATTAACTGTTGGAGCTAAACTATCGCATCTATATGGAAAAGGCGATGTAATTTGATATTGATTCAAAAGATCTTTAATTCTGAATATCTCAGGTGTAGGGATTAGCTGTAGAACAAGAATATTTGGTATTGATTTTATTTTATGGTAGTAGTAAGAATATAATGATGTTGCTAATTTAATTTAATAATGATAAACTTCCAATTTTAAAGTAAAATAAAATTTCTTAAAAATATACAAGTCAAAATCTAATTTATCAATATTATTGATCTTTATATAAGTAATTTTGTATTTCTTCTTAATATGAAAGTAAATTATATGTTTTTTATATATAACAAAATATCGCCTCATAAATAAATAAAAAGACTTAAAATTTAAAAAGAAAAAATTTATAGTTTTTATTATTTGTTAATAGTCAGATCTCTTTTAATTTATTCGTCAGAATAAAATCAACGATAAACATCATAATCGTATCAATTATTGGATTCAAAAAGAATATAATTCAAGTGATAAACTACCCCTCAAAAATAAATACATACCCCCCCCCCCCCACACACAAATAATATACCCCCCCCCCCCAAAAAAAAAAAATTAATACCTACCCCCAAAATGCCAATATATTTTGGAGACATTTGTCTCCTACCCACCCCGGCCATGTAGACACTGCATGTTCTTAATAAAAACTCTTTTACATTCATTTTTCTTATATTTGGCAATTGAGTATTGATTATTTTATAATATATGAAGGGATTACCATTTGATAAAAAAACGTGTAATTCCTAATGTGAATACAACGCCGCATAATGCGGCCATTTATTTAGAGGGAAAGTTGTAGATTTTTGAGGGGGTTTTGCTTCCAGTGAATACCGTGCCATGCAGACGCTGCCTAGAAGGATCGATTAACAAACCTAAATATTTTACAAAAGAATGATTTTGTCATTTTAATCGTTTAATTTCCTAAAAAATAAACAAATGGCGTTATTATTATCGACTTCCTTCTAACATAATATAAATCAAGCTTGAGTGTTGAATTTAGTATCAGTACATGTTTTAAATTCAGTGGGTTTGCATTTTAATGTTTAGAATCCAATGAAGAAAAACGAAATCAATATTCACTCATGTAAGATTAAAATATGGGAGAAGCATTGCGCTATTATGTATTCATCTCAGTATATTAATGTAAATTTTAAATATAAATTATTACATCAAAGTATAAATAACTTATGGTTAAAAAATAAATAGGATCATAGGCGTAGCCGGGGGGTGGGCAAGGGGAAATCCCCCCTTCAGAAATTTATCACTTTTTGTGAATATCATTTTAAGCTAATAAAAAATATCCCCCTTAGTCTTTCTCCCACTCCCTGACCCTCAAAAATGTATACATATATCTTAAACAATAATTTGAAAGAAAGAATGTAAAAGTTGACATTTTTTTATAAAATTATACATCATAATTTATACAATTTTGGGAAAAAGCATTTCTATATATATAAAGTAGTGCTGTAAACATTTCTAGAAAAATCGAACGCGTTCGCGTTCAACGTTCATTGACAAAAATCGAACGCGTTCACGTTCAAGTTCATGTTCAAAAAAAGGAACACGTTCACGAACGCGTTCACGTTCATAAAACCGTTCAAAATTTTATGATAAATTTTTTTAATGCTCATCGATGAATTACAAAGTTTATAATTATTTTTATTCTAAAGTTTCTAGTATATTTATTTATAAAAATTTTTTTTTATTAAATTTTAATAACAATGGTTTTCAAAATATTTATCTGATAGACAAGAACACTTGGCAGTTAATACTGCATTAGTTATACTAAAAACGCGCTCTACAGGGGCAGATGAGAGGATTGTGGTATTATACTTAATAAACAGCTCTTTTAACGTGGATAAATAATTAAAAACATAGTTTTGTTATTTGCAAAAAATTGAGATAAGTTATCCTCCTCCAATTCATTCTCTACTCTCGACAAAAAAAAGGATATCTCGAAATTAACAGTTCTCTAGGGTTTTCATGGCATTTTTTTCAATGACGCTATAAGTTTATTTTTAATAGGTTCGTTCTGTGGAAGTTTTATCCATGGCCATTGAAGTTTGAATGCTGGATGTATAATTGCAGAAAGAACATATTGATCCTTATATATATGTTCAAATCTTTAAAAAATAAATATGTAATTAATTGAGAGTAATAGGTTTAATACCTTTTATTAATCCCATTTAATACGGCGTCCATCAATGGTTGACCATATTTGAGGCCACTAATATTTTTAATTTTAAAATAACTATCGTTATTGTTGGGGTCAAGTATCCCAAATACATTATTTCTTCAAATTTAATGATTTAATTTAGATATATCATATCATATAAAATCAAATAATTAATATTAAAATCAAATGTCGTTTAAATTGGAACCTGAAGATTTTGACAATATAATACTTTTTGGCCACATTTTACATTTGGCAAGCATTGGATTAGTTCCTTCAATATAAGATGTTAATGTAAAACATTTATCATATTTGGCCATGGTAATGATAATTCATCTGATTTTGGATTTTCAGAATTAGATGATGAGGATTAAATAATAATATCCATGCTTATGCTATTAAAAAAAATTGAAATGTGAAAAGGAAATACACAACCGATTAAAAAAATATAAATAATACTTTTTTCAAAAAAATTCAAAAATATTAAATTTTTCAAATAAATAAAAATAAAAATATTTTTAAAATTGAATAAACGATAAATTCAAACGCACTCGTCATAAAAAAGGAACGCGTTCACGTTCAAAGTTCGTCAAAAATAAAAGGAACGCCATTCGTCATTTTTTCAAAAAAACGAACTTCGTTCACGAATGTGTTCATTAACGCGTTCGTTTACAACACTAATATAAAGTGAACCAAAAATGTTTTTTAATAAATGGAATGTAAGCCAAAGATAAGTCTTAAGACAAAAGTGTAATGTATTTTAATTATTAATAATAGATCCATAAAATTACTAAATAACATAGTTTATCAATAATTTTTTATAAAGTGAGTAATTTTAATTTATTTATCTTAATAAAAGTAAAATATAATTATAAAACTATTGATAAAATTAAATCATATAAACAAAAAAATTAAAGCACAATACAAACAGTGGAATATTATATGTCGTAGATTTACAGTATAAATAATTTTATCAATTATCATATGACAATCAAGTAATTTTTACCAATATAGCGAATTATATATTTTACAGAAAACTATAAAATATTGATAAGGACATCAAAAAATATCTTTTAAAGACATTGTGGGATTAATAATATAAGATTAATTTTTAATTTGAAATAAATAGATGGCGTTAAATAATTAAATGCTAATAGTTGTTATATTTATTATCAAGAGCATTGATTAGTAAAATTTGTTAAAATATTAGCTGTAATATATTTTCTAACTGTCAAATATGCCTGTAAGAGTGGAATTTTACCTAGTATTTTGTAATCAATTCTATATAATAGAGGAATATCAACTATATGTCTACTTACTTTTTATAAATGAATTTCTTATATTTATTTGGAATAAATTATTACCATGCATATTAATATATATACAAGTAATTTTTTATATTTTATATAAACTAATAAAACTATATTTGATATTTGTTCTAGGCTTATTTTTTTTATTAAAATTCCTCCTATCTTGTAAAAATATTTTATAACTATATGTAGACTAAGATAACCCGGCCGAAGGCCCGGCAAAAGCGGGCCGAAAGCTCGCCAAAAGGGAGTCTGGGGGCAAAGTCCCTAGTAATTTGTTAATCCCCCCCCCCCCCCGAAAATCATGGCTACGCCTATGGGATGATAGAAAATATTTAATGTATTATCTATATTAAATATTTTGTATTTTAATTAGTGTAATAAATATTTTTAAAATTGAAATTAAAAACATATTCTCTTTCTAAGTTAAACAGAAGTTAATAAATTTTATTTGGGCCTGCTATATAATTAACAAGTAGGTCTTTATAAACCATAACAAGCAAAAGCTTTATAAAAATATTTTTTAATTTAATTTTGGAAACAAGAGATTCCAGGTTCTATTTTACCTTTTTGATCTCATTTAGAAAACTGTTAATTAAAATTAATATTATATTTAGAAAAAAAAATAGTTTCTAAATTAGCTTGTCAATTTAGATGAAAAATAAAAAAATAATAATTTAACACAAAATAAAGCAGTTTAAATAAATATAAGGAAAGTATATTTAGCTCATTAAAAAAAATTAATATTTTTATGTTATTTTTTATTTAAATTATAGGTAAAATAAATAGTGATAAATTACTATTTATTCTGTTATTTTTTTATAATTAGTGTTTAAATTAAACTTTAGTTTGATATTGATAATATTCAATTTTCGACTCGTATTATTAAATTAATATAGCAGCTTAATTTTAAAAATAATTCCCCCCCCCCCCTTAAAAAATCCTGGCTACGCCTATGGTCCATATTATATAAATAGGTTAAAAGAAGATATAATTGTCAATATTATTTATAAAAAATTATTAGACAGAGAAATATCTTGTGGTAATATTAAACAGGTTCTGCGGAGGAACATGAACTAGCCATATGAATCTATATAATTATTACCGACATCTAATTCTGGATTATGAACCGACTTAATTATCATTGGCATATTTATATCCAACTTTTCACAAATCATTAACCATATGACGGTCAATAATAATGGTAGATCTCGTTTCATCTTTTTTATAGGAATTTGATAATTCTTTAAAAAATATTAAAAACATATGAGCAGTCAAATTCAAATTTACGAATATATAAATAAATGTATTTATGATATAGGCAATAGTATTAATGAAGATACGAATATATATTTTTCAAGTTGTAAAGCCCCAGTTAACATAGCATTGATAAAATATTGGGGGAAAATAGATGAAAATTTAAATTTTCCTATAAATGATTCCTTGAGTATTACCTTAGATTTAAATGATCTATATACTCAAACATCTATTGCAATGAGCAAAATGTTTATAGAAGATAGATTATGGATTAATGATAATGAAATTGATTTAAAAAATTGTAAAGATGGTAAGGTGTATAGAGTTAATAGAATTTTATACATTTTTAGATCATCTATTGATTGGGAAAAATTATGTATCATCAAAAAAGATTGGAAGATTAGGATATGCTCCAAAAATAACTTTCCAACGTCTGCTGGATTGGCTTCTTCTGCTTCTGGATTTTCTGCCATGGTTACATGTTTAGCAAGATTATTCTTTGAATCTGATAAATATAGTGACAATGATTCTAATGTGGATTCTAAATATTCAAATGGACTAGATAATTTTTTTACTCAGCATAAAATTAAAGAATTTTCAGCTATATCACGATTAGGATCAGGTAGTTCATGCAGAAGTTTATTTGGGGGATTTGTTAAATGGGTAAATTATAATTATAATAACAATTTTGTTAGTCAAGCAGAGCCAGTTGATACTACTAAGGAAAATTTTCTAATTCACAATATGAAGGTTCTGATTTTAGTAACTAATGCATCCCAAAAACATATAGATAGTACAAAAGGTATGAAATTAAGTGTCAAGACCAGTCAACTTCTTAATTATAGATCTCAATATATAGTACCAGATAGAATGAAAGATGTTGAAAAATTGGTTTTGGCTCATGATGAATACAAAAATTGTGAGCATAGTTTTTCTAAATTATGTGAAGTGATAATGAAGGAGAGTAATCAGTTACAAGCAGTATGTAGAGATACATATCCACCCATTATTTATTCAAATGAAGTATCAGATTTAATTATTAATTTTGTTATTGCTTATAATAAAGCATTCACTAATTTCTTTCAGGAGGAAAATGCTGGTCATAATAAAATAAAAGTAAATGTTAACTTATATAATTCTTTTAAGTGATTAAAATATGGTTGATATTTGAACCTATAATTATTAATTATTGTGTATAAAACTTATATTATTCTTATTCAAACTGGAAAAAATGTTGATCATCATAAGATAATTGGCTAGCATTTATTTATCCATATTTTATTCAAAAAATATTAATTTTATTCAAAATATTAATTTTAATTTTTTTATAGTAAAATAGCTTTTACAATTTGAATGTTTCTATTAAGTTTTTTAGTTCAAATTATATATTTGAAATGGTATTGTTAATTGGCATTTAAAAAAATATCAATTAAATTTAAACAATAAGGCTTTTTTTATAAAACAATTCTAAACATTTCTACTCAATTTGTAAATACTATAATAATGTAATGTCACTATATTATTATAAATTTAAACAGAACATTCTGCACCTAAGGTTCTGTAAAGTGCCTTCATTGAAGTGTGCACAGCATGCCATTATTTTTTTCTCTTGTGTTCTTTTTCTGCTCTCAAGTTATAAAGCTATATTTATATTTCCTATTTGATTTGTCACCATATTTATTCAATTTCAATTATTTCAATCATAAATTATGTCCCCTCCACCATAAAAAATTAAAGGCATGATTTAGGTACACCTATATACAATGTAAAAGAGTCTAACAATTGCAATTTTTCAGTATAAAATTTTTAGTAAATTTTTTTATAGCATTTAAATAGATTTGCTAGTAAATATATTTTTCAGTGAACATAAATTTTTTTCTTTATTCTTTTGCTTATATTCCATTAAGAGTACAATATTTAAATTAATTGACCAGTATAATAAACTCCTTATAATTAATTATATCTAATTATGATTTGATATAAAAATATAAATTATAATTTTTCTAAAATGGCTAGTTTTACAAAATTAAAATATAAATATTACCTTTCCTAATATCTAGTGTTACGTAATCGGCTAAAGATCTCGCTAAGCCTAATTAAGCTTATACTAAAAATCGGCCAAACCTAATTATACTTATCCAAAAAATAGGCGAAAATTTCAAGGAGTTCAGCTAATATTCTGTCAGCCTTATGCCTTAATTATAACTTATATTTTCATATAATTATTTTATCTATATTTATTACATAATGCTGACTGGCGATTAACCAAGCTCTTTAGCAGATTCCTAATTTTTGAATAATTCGTTTTAACCGTTTTTAGGTTTAAGATTTTTAGATTCAGCCTAATTAGGTTTAACCGAGTTTTTCACTTAAATATTTTGCTAAGCCTGTTTGGAGTCGGCTAAAATTAGCCGATTACGCAACATTTAATTTCTATCAATATTTTCTTCGAGATTTTCGAGAATACATAAGAAATATGCCCAGTTTTTTGTCTTTTTGAATTTTGCGTGTTAAATCTTAAAACTTAAAAATAAACTAAAATAATTTTAAAATATGCAGTTTATCTAAGCATTTACTGTTTAGTCAAACCACATATAACCCTACCCGTTTACCTTACTTACCCCCACCTCGCCCATGAGATTGATTTCAAAATGATTATTTTACCCTATGATGGGGACAGATCTTGATCGTCTGAACATCAGTCGGTATGAGAAATTTGTAAAATGACACTTTTCTTAGGTTAAGATACTAATATCGCTAGTCAATTTTATTATTAATTATAAAAAAATGTTTTTTTTTTACTAAGCAAGTTTTATTATACTGGTTAAATATTCATTTTAGGTAAAAAAAAAAATTAAAAAATACAGTGAATTTTATACAAATACTGAATGTTTTAATTATTCGTCCAAGTTAATAAAATAAATATTTTTATTATTTCTATTATAACTCTTTTATACAAATTAAAAGTTTTATTCTTTTGTTTTATGCCCTTATTTGAAATCTTAACTTTACAAACTTTGTTATAATTCCTGGTGCTAAATTTGATAACTTTTTATTCGATGTGATTCATTTTGGACTCATTTTTGAAGTTCTCATAAGTTTTTCTATTGTGGAATCATCTATTAAAAAATAAAATATATATTAAATAAGACTTCTATAAAATATTTTATTGTTTTATTACAGGTTGCCTACTCCTTTGATGCCGGCTCTAACGCGTTTATATTTATCGACGAATCTCACCTACAGACATTTTGCATTCTTTTAGAAAAACATTTTATGTTATCTCAATCCGCCTCTGAAACTCTTACATATTTATCTCGCTCATTTGATTTAATGGGTTACAATAATTTATCAAAGAAGGAATGGAATAATTATCTCGAAGTCAATTTTTCATTTCTATTTAACCATGAAAAATTGGCTATTCCAATACAATCCATCATTCTTACGAAGCCCGGTTCTGGCCCAATTTATATTAATGATCCCGAAGAATGTTTATTAGATTCTCAAGGATTTCCCAAATAAAGGATTTTTTTGATATTTTGCTCAATTTGTTATAATAATTTATGGTTGATAAAAATTTGATACAATAATTGTGATTTTAATTGTTATGAATGAATAATAAAAATCCATAGTTATTAATAGGGCCTGCTGAATGGGGAGGGGGGGGGCAAAGTGGAAGATTTCCCATGCCGGTATGATTTTGATTTTTTGAGAGCGGCGATTTGAAAATTAAAAATTAATTTTTTTAAAATTTAATGATTCATCTTTGATTTGTTTAGCATGTTTATATTATTAATGCAACAATGGGCAACAGTTGATATTATCATCGTAGTTTTTTTTTATTTATTTATTCCAACTCATTCAAAAACTAAAAAAAAATCCCTATTTTAAATAGTTTTAAAAACAGGGGTTCCAATAGAAATAGGAAAGGGGTTTTATTTTTATTAAAGATAAAAGAGTTCAATTGAGTTTTTTAAATACTCTTTATATTACTCTTAACCAATAGGTCATCCAGCGTAGGAATAACGTGATGATCATATAATAGACGGGGATTTAAACTCACCTTGAAATCTGCGCAAATACGAATCTCGCCATTGTTTTTCCTGACATTTACTGTTGGGGTTGCCCATGGCACCCTAGTTATAGAGGAATCGATGGGCTCCAAGCAGCCACAAAACGATCCAGTTCTAGTTCAACCGCTCTGCGTAATGGAAATGGCACTCGACGAGCTGGAAACGATTTTGGAACAGCCGTATCTTTTAATTGGAGTCGCACCGCGAAATTACTTATCAACCCCGGTTTGCCGTCAAAAACAGCTTTAAACTGTTTAACAATGCCCCATTGAGTCTTCCGTTAGTGACATCCTCGATCCGTGTGAGCATCGATTGTATTCGAACGGCCCATCGGGGCTTCGGCCCGCGGGGGCACCGATTGTATTCGAGCGCCCCATCGGGGCATCGTTGGTTTGGTGGCAACTTGATATTATGTTTTTCTATTCGTTTTGAGAACCTGTTGTATGCTTACCTGTCTCGGTAACTCAAACCCAAATGCTAAAATCCATGTCAACCCAAACAGAGGTAGGTCATTTGACTTTATTATAATAACTGATAAATTGTGAATTACTTTCCCCACTTGCACACGAACCATGGCTTCACCCATAAGATCCAATGGCTTATCTCCATAGGCTGCTAGTGGATTTGTGGAAGATGTTAGTGGTTTGCCAATTTTCTCCCAAATATTCAATCCTATAATAGAGGCGTGTGCTCCTGTTTCATAATCAAAAGTGACACTAAGCCCATTTATTTTGGCTGTGATCTTTGCCATTTTATTTAATCCCCTTGTCCAGAGATTAGTAATTGAATCACTTGGTGAAAATGTGGTTTCACTGAGTTTAAATTGCGATATACAGGCTTACTAAGGCAACATGCTGCGAAATGTCCGGTTCTTTGGCACTTAAAACATGTTTTGTCTTTAGCTGGGCATAAATATCTTTCATGCCAGCCGGCACAATTCTTACATTTATTATCGTAAAACTTGTTATTAGGCTTCCTATAATTATTGTCTCTCTTAAAACACTCTTGTGAATAGGCATTTTATGTTTGTAATCTTGCGGTCTGACATTATTTACCAAGTCTTTCTTGATAGTTATTTCGTTTTAAGCATTTTCTGTTGCCGTGGCTATATCTAGCACGAACTGGAACGTCAGGGTTTTTTTGTTCACATCCAATGCTAAAGGATATTTAGTCCTAAGTTCAACTTCGAGACCTGGTAGATCTATACCCGTAACTAATTGATCTCTTAACCGGCCGTCAAATTCTGACGTCGTAAAACAACACGCTTTTGCAGTTATTTTGATTCTATTAGCGAACTCTCCAATTGCTTCATTCTCATTCAGCGTCTACATGACAGGATTTTCACTGAATGCAAACCCCCTTCAAAAACCTTTGCCCACCCCCCTAAAAAATTCCCGCCGCCTATCATTATTTTCACCTATTTATTTATTGATACTCTTTTCAAAGAATTTATAAAGGATAACTTAGACTAATCTATTTCTACTACCAACTATCAATATTTTATGAATATAAAGAATTTATTTTTTAGATAATAAATTCAATTAAAACCTCCATTATTTACAATGAATTTATTATTATGGCGTTATGAGCTTGCTGAAATATCTAAACCATTTAAAAGGATGGAGAACAATGTGTATGATTGTTTGCAATATATAGATTTGGTCAATGAATTGTATTATAATAATACTATAATAAAAGTATTAATTTTTACAGCAATAAATTTTGTCCTATTTCATCTCCTAATTTAATAGATAACCCCCCAAAAAATTTAACCTACCCCATTAAAGTAGCTTACCCCATACCCCCTCAAAAAATTAGGATGCAAACTGTTCCTACCCCTCCCACTCATGTAGACGCTCATTCCTAATTAACCGTATGAAGTCTAATCTACAGAGTTGTTAAACGCTATTTTTAAAAGTAGGGCGCTACCGCTATAGCTATTTGTCAAAAAAAGTAGCGCGCTATTAGCTACTTTTTTCCAAAAGTAGCTTTAGCTACTTTTAAGCCACTTTTTATAAAAAATATTTTAGAAACAAATGAAATAAATTTTTTTTATTTTTTTTTTTGCTTATAATGTAAATGTATAATAAATATATAAAAATCAACATTTATAAATATAAAAATAAGGTTAGTTTAGATTATAAAAATATAAGCAATATAAATAAATATTTATTTTAATTTGTTGCATTTTAATAATAATATCATTTCAATATTATCATCCCCAAGTCTAGAGCGACGATCAAAAAGTATAAGCTTTGCTTTACAAATAATCTCTCGACACTATCACTTGAGGGCAAGGAAGCTTTAAAAATATTTAATCAGATCAATTTATAAATATAAATAAGTTTTTACCTTCTGTTATGTGTCCAACAATCTGCCGGTGTACATACATAAGATATATTGATAACTACTATTAGAGCATCTTTCATCACTTTGAAGTTGTCGGGTATTTTATTCATAAGTGTCTGGCGACATAAAACTGTTGTGCCAGGGGATAAAGTTTTAATCATATAGTAAATGATGGATTATCAACCAAGGACAATGGCTGAACTGTGTCAATAATAAAATCAACAATTACATCAGCCAATTTTTGTGAAATATTGGCATGTTTATTATCAGTTAATTTGGTTTGGATAGTATTTGTCTTTTTGAATGAAGATTCTCTTATACCAAATTTTTTTATATGTTTCTCTATTTCCTTATAGCAATTGGCGTGAACAGTCTAATAAAATAAATAATATTATAATGTAAAAATAACAATTTACCTTTAGGTGTTTCTTCAGGTTATAGCTACTCGATTGATTTGATGATATATTTTTTTTACATTTTAAGCACAGGAATTTGGATCCAGATTTTGTTTTAATATTTATTTTAAAAAATTTTTCAAATCTAGGGAATGGGAAATCGTTATTAGAGCTATTAAGTACATTTTCTTCCATTGAATCTTCCATGTCTGAATCACTTTTAAGGATTTGGATATCCATGTGCGATGCCATTTTAGATTATTAACATAGATTGAAAATATAAATTAAAAATTGAAAATATATTTAAATTTCAAAATTAAATTATAAAAATTATAATTAATTATGATATTATATTTAAATTTTCATGTTTATACTTACATTCATTATATTTTTTAAAAGTAGCGAAGTAGCGCGCTACTTAGCTACTTTTTAAAAAAAGTAGCGCGCTAAAAAATTAAATAATTAAAAAAAAAGTAGAGGCTATTAGCTATAGCTACCAAAAAAGATATCGCGCTACTTTAACAACTCTGCTAATCTACTACCGAAAATGGTTTTACTCTTCTCAAAAATATGTAGCTAGACACTCCTTATCTTATCAAATTTAGTCGTTAGAATGGTTTCAAGAAATAAATATTGTTCGAGAATGTCAATGCAATGCCCTCAGCGCCAAAACTCATCATTAACAGGTCCTTATTTTCTTGATCGGTCGGTGTCCAGTTCTTTAGTCTTAACGTTGCGTCCCAAAATTGGAACCAACGTTGTATAGACCCATTAATTTGATATTTTTCTAACTTATCAATTATACTAGTATTTTTGGAATGCATAATTTATAAAATTAATAACTATTTTCTTACTTGTTTTAATTAGAATATTAGAATCCTCTTCGTCGCCACTTTAGCGAAGGTAGAACCTTTATTTCCATTTATTTATTTCTATAATTCATTCACAATAAGTATCAGTTTTCATTGACATTTTATTCAGTATAATTTAACCATAAGGTGCAACTTAATTACAAATGGCGATATATAATTACACGTTAATGGATGGGTCGTTACATAATACATTAGGAAGTTAAACAACACCTATTGTATTAATCGTAAATATATATATATAATCATATCTAACTGGCAAATATAATATATAATAAGATAAAATATTACAATAGATTACTTCTTTACTACTTATATATATTTTATAATTAATATAATATTATGTGAAGTCAACCTAACACACATAGCATCAATTATAAGTATTATTTCCGTGATTGATTATATATGATTAATTTCGTGAATGTTTATATTAAAGACTGAATTAATCTATGCATATATAGTTTAAGTTTATTATAAGCGGATAAATTTATGTACCGAGAAAGGATATAAGTTTGGTTATTGATAAAAATATTACAAATGGGTAAATGAGGATGTGAATAGTAACGCCTGAGTTATTATGGAGATGGAGAACAAAGAATTTTCCTGTTGTAAATATTTAATGATTTTTGAATTAATTTTTTGTATATTTTCATAGTTCTTAATTAAATATATGATATACATGCATATAAAAATTGATAAATATTTATTTTTGACAAATAAAGCACTTTTCAGTTTATTACCTAATCGGACTTAAAATATTTTGCAGTTTTACTACAATTATCAACAATACATTATCAACAAACTTCAAGTTATTGATTAATAACAAGCTTTTCAATATGTGCTCCCTAACGCCCTGACCCAATGGTATTTTTTTTATAATTATAGCTTAGTAATAATTATTAGTATGTTGCTTTTTATTTTTACGAAACGTTATTTTTTTGAGTTCGGTTGAGCATGAATTCAGTTTTAGCGAAGTAAATATATATTTTTGTTTAAAGTTATAAGAAGTAAATCAATATAGCTCCAAGAATAAAATAAACTTACAAATTATTTTTCGTTATTTATGTGAATGTAACGGATCTGCTGGGGAAAACGATAAGCATAATATCCACAAGATAAAAGATACTTTAAAATCTATGAAAGTTATACCACCTCTCTCAAATATTAGTTTGACAAAACCAATGCCAGCTAATAAAAGAATTAAACAGTAAATTTTTAACTAATGTATTATGTAAAATTATAATGTAGAAATGAAGAATATTTGATAAGTTCTGAATCTCTAAATGCAACCACTGATATATTGAAATTAATAAAAAATCCTCAAGTTCAACATCAAATCAAGAGCGAAATTTTACAAAAACTAAATGATGACTTAAAAAAAACTGAAATCAGAAAAAATGGGCAGCAATTAACGTATGCTTAACTTTTTATTATTTCAACACATATTTGACAATTGTTATTTTTTAAAATAATATTATGTTAAATATTTGTAATAAAATCTAGACTTTATTTTAAGCACCTATAGAGATTAATAATTAACAGGGATGTATTAATCACTCTATTTGCTTATACCAAAAAATTTTATTTTATTTATCATTTATATCAGTGGTCTGTGGTATCTGGACTAGCCCTGAGCTGGGAAAATAGTAGAGATACTTGGCCAAGATACAGTTCCAAGAATCAAAATTATTCTAGTGCAAATCAAAATTATTATTCTAACACCTAATTTTCTTAAAATAATATTTTTCATTAGCTTATAATTTTAATGACGATTACAAATTATAATTAGGTTTTTAAATTTAATCTTAAAATAAGGTCAAATCATTGTTGACAAAAATAGACATATTTTGTAATGTATTAGACTTATATTGATAAATTCTGATATTTGATAGAAGTGATAATCCTTAGAGCATATTGTTTTTAACTTGACTACTCCTAATATTATAAATAGTTGTTTATTTTGGTGTTCATCTACAATTATATTTAAAAATCAATTACAAATATTTCAGGTGGCCAAAAAACAATCGATTTTTACTTACTTTAAGGTGAAGGAGGGATCGATTTTAACACAAATACTATGTTGCATGAGTAAATATTGTTTGATAAGAATACTGACATTTTCATTTGAGGCAGGATTTCTTACTCTAGTTCAGTCAAATGAATTGTTTCATATTCATGTTTAAGTCCAAAATGTCCTTCATCACTCGATATAACCAGAGCATTTTGTATCTGCTCTACGTCTTCCCACACCATGTCAGCACATCATTTTGAATTTCTAATTATGTGAGAAAGAAATTTAATTCTTTTCTATTTGAAGGTGACACATACCTGGATATGTCTGGATACCTTCCAGAGTTTGTCATTAGATATAACTCTTGGGTAAAAAACTCTATCTATGTTTCTTAGGCAAAAAAGGTTTGCAACGGCATATTCACGGTGTTATTGATCTCCCATGTTTCTCCCTGTTATAATAGAATGGGGATAACTGTAGAATTAAAAATCCTTAGCCATGAAAACAGATATCTCTCGTTTTCCAATAATTAAATTATTTATAAAAGGCTGTCCTAGCATTATGTATTCCAATGTTCAGCTCTTCTTTATACGATCTTTATTATCAAGTGTGACACTCAGGTATTTGATTTTAGACACCACCTTTATGCTCTCCGAATCAACCTTGAAATCCTCTACCATCCTGTGTAGATTGTAAGGTCATCATCATTTTGTCAAAATTAATAACCAATTTTATATTAAGGCTGCACACCTTGAGGGCATAGATCAGGTTGTGAGTATTCCTAGTAATAATAACAATATCATCTGCATACGATATCATTTTGTTTTCTAGTGATGGTTGTTGTTGGAACCCAATTCCATAAGATTCGCCACAGTTAGAGTATCTTTTATAACCTTGTTTATATTGAAAAGGATAGGGGGGGAGAACACAACCCTGTCTGACCCCTTTTTTTATTCTAAAATATGGTGACATTTTGCTATTACTAGATTACTACAGTGATTTTTAGAATATGGGCCATTCCATGTCAAATCGATCAAAAAAGGCACTTTTTCTGCCGACCCCTTTTAAAATTGTTAAAATTTTCTGGAATTATTTAGATAGGTAAAAGAATAAGAAAGACATTTATTTTAGCTCGCTAGAAAACCTGGTTCTCGAGATATAGGGACTCAAAGGTACAAAAAAGAGCCACTTTGGAATCTGTAAAATTTTTAAAATGCTTATATCTCAAAAACTATTTGTAATAAAAAAAATTATAATATATCATTTTGTAGGTAAAGAAATTCTCTAATGGGCTAACAAAGAATAATAAATATTGGCGCCATTATAGGATTTTAACATCCGGTTTACCTAAATTGCTTTACCTGTATTTTTAAGCAAAATATTGAGTTTGTTTTTTAATTTTTTTTTGCTTTTTATTTAGACACCTTTTATAAATATATATACGATGTATGTCAAAACCAAATATACATTTTTACCAAAAATTGAAGAAAAAAGTAGATAACGCTAATGGTTGAAAAATATTATTCTTAAGGAAAATAAAAATATTGAAACGTTTATAAGAATTGTGATAAAATTTTCCAGTTCTGCCACCCCCCCCCCCTCACTATCCTTAAAATGTTTAACATTTTTTAGATCTCTACTTTCTACTATAACGAGCGAATGACTTATTAGCTCGATAATATATAACAGCTGCAGTAAAAATGAATATTTTATTAGGCATATATTCTATTATATTTTACAAAATAAATTGTTTAAAACGATCTCTCTTTCTGCGAAATAATTTTAACCTGTCCGTTCAGATTAATTTTATCGTCTGTCTACCAATAACAATCTGGTTTTGGGGAGTGCAAAAACATGTATTCTAGGTGTAGATCAATTAAAATTTTATTCTATATCATAGATGGACGTATCAAATATTAAAATGTTTCAACCCATTTAATCTACAAAGCTTATTATCGCGAGAATATAAGAAAGATTCTACCCTGGATGACCCAAAAAAAATTTACCATTCAATTTAGATATGTTAATATGCTTTTCATGGCGACAAAAATTAGCAAACATTCTTTATATTTCAAATGACAATGTAGATATTGATTCTCCCCTTCATATAATTAATCAAAAGGCTAATCACTACAATCAAATGGGGAATCTCTCATTAAAAGAAAACGCTTATGTGAAAAGAAATATTCGAAGAAAAAAATATCTAGAGTAAAAATAAGTTTAAACGACTAAAATTATACCATTATCTTCATCAAATGATGAAAAATTCGATGAAATTGTAGATACCTTAAAAATTAAAAAAATTATATGAAAGATATTTATTATTGGAAATTTGTTACATTATTAAGTGTCTAATGGGCATATGCCCACTCTGCTCCTCAGTTAATTAGTATATTTAATAGAAAATCAAAATTTTTTAGTATAAAAAGTGAAAATATCTGGTTATTGATAAGTTAGCAGCAAAATTTTAACCATAATCCGTAATTTCATAAAGCGTTATCTATTTTTTTTATCAATTTTTGGAGTCGACAGCATCGCCAAGGTTTTGATATTGTATATATATTTAGCAAAAGTGTCTAAATAAAAAGCAATAAAAAAAATCGAAAACAAACTCACTATTTTGCTTATAAATACAGGTAAAGCAATTTAGGTAAACCGGATGTTAAAAGCCTATAATGGCGCCAATATTTATTATTCTTTGTTAGCCCATTAGAGAATTGATTTATCTACAAAATGAGATATTATGATTTTTTTTATTTTATAGTTTTTGAGATATAAGCATTTTAAAAATTTTACAGATTACAAAGCTCTTTTTTGAACCTTTGAGCCCCTATATCTCGAGAACCAGGTGTGCTAGCGAGCTAAAATAAACGGCTTTCTCACTCTTTTACCTATTTAAATAATTCCAGAAATTTTTAACAATTTTAAAAGGGGTCGGCCGAATCGTGATCGATTTGACATGGAATGGCCCATATGCAATATATTATTCATAACCCAACTCCACTTGAATGCCCCATAAAACGTCATGATTTATATTGTCAAATGCTCTCCTGAGATCAATGAAAGCGGTCCCTTCAACTGTACCCTCCTTCCAGTTAATTATTTTCAACAAAATTTGGAACACAGGCAAAACGCCAGTGGACTGGAACACATCTCTCCTATATAACTTCCCGAAAATGAAGAACCCATATTAATTTAACGACTATAGAGTTATTGCTCTCACATCCGTTACTTCGAAGATTTTTTGATTTTATAAAAACCCGCATCATCCTTTCCTCACAAAATCGCTTTTCCAAATAAATATATCTGCATATCGCCCCAGAAAAAACTTGAAGCCAATCTTGGCTCTCAAAATAATAATGCAAAAATGTGACAAATACAGTTTGCCTTATTTTTTTCACCTTCATTGATTTCAGGAGAACATTAGACAGCATAAATCATAATGCTGGGGTGGGTATTTATAGTGTGTATTTTAAATAATCACTAATATCCTCGTTCAAGCTAAGTAAAAAAAATGTCACCATATTTTTGAATAAAAAGGAGGTCAAATGGGGTTGTGTTTTCTCCCCTATCCTTTTCAATATAGCATAAACAAGGTAATGAAATACTCTAGCTGCTGCGAATCTTATGGAATTGAGTTCCAAACAACCATCACCTATAAAAAAAATGTTATCGTATGCAGATGACATTTTTATTATTACCAGAAATCTGGAGGAAACGCACAATCTTCTATGCCTTCAAGATGTGCAGCCGTAAGATAGGACTGGTTATTAATTTTGACAACGATGGTCTAACCATCTAGCCACGCGATGATAACTTGGGATTTCATGATCGATTTGGAGAGAATAAAGGTAGTGTTTAAAATCTAATAACTAGGTGTCACAATCGATAGTAAAGGTCGTTGTAAAGAAGAGCTATACATCACGTTAGGAGAGCCTTTTATAAATACATTGAATTGTGGAAAACGAGAGAGGTATTTGTTTTCAAATGAGGAATTTTAATTCTACTGTTATCCCCATTCTACTATACCATGGAGAAACATGGGAGATCAATAAACCGGGAACAGGCAGTTGTAAACCTTCATTGATAAATGCTTAAGAATCATAAATTAAGGGTCTTTTACCCAAGATCAAATAACTGGAAGATATCCAGACATACCCAGCTAACTCTCAAGTAGAGACCATTCAATTTCTCTCACATATTTAGAAATTCAAATACGAATCTTGCACACGACGTGCTGACATGGCTTTACTAGTTCAGTAGGAAAACGTACTGCAGATACAAAACACTGTGGTTCTATCAAGCGATGATGGACATTTCGGACTTAAACATGAATATGAAATAGTTAATTTGACTGTACAAAAGTAAGAAATCAATAAAGAAGCTGCTCGATAAAGCTCACTGCCTCAAATTAAACATGTCAGTCTTATCCAATAATATTTACTCATGCAACATAGTAATTGTGTTTTAAAATTAAAATCGGCCCCTCTTTCGCCTTAAAGTAATTAAAATTTTCATGCAATTGTTGGGTCTGGGATGTGTTGTTTTGCCCATCCCCTTTTGTAATCAGTTCACAGAGGTTTAAGTAAGTCTTAGGACTATTGTGCGTACAAATATGTGTGGCTGTTCATACAAGTATGTGTGACTTGCCCACAAACGTGAAAGGCTCATTTTTCTTTCCCTTAAATTAAATTTCGAGTTTGATGGATTATGAGGAAAACCTAACGTAACTCAGCAGCTTGTTAACTCTAGAGGGCTTAGCGCTGAAATCACATCAAATATGGCGGGACAACTTAAGTGAAAAATTAAAACTGGTCTTGGCATAAACTAAATTCCCGGCCTGGTCTCAGAATTTTACTATTAGCATACCACTGATTTATAAAAAAAATTAAAAGCACCTTTTTTATTACTTTCTTGTCAATTTAGAAATTAGTAGATAAAATGTTGTAAAAATTTATAGCTTAAAAAGGGTTTATATTTTTTATTATCTTCTGGTATTAGCTAAAATTGAAAATATTAGTTATATCGATACTGTGAGGATGTTATCAGTGTATTTCCCATAATTACTATTAGACTTAGGATAATTTTAATATTTTTACATGATAGGACTTTGTTTACTGGGATGAAGATTGATGATACTAAGAGCAAAAAATTAAAAACTCAACCTATAGAATCTGAATCTATATCTAAATCAGGCATTAAAAATACCTTGACTCATAGTAATCATTCACAATATATTGTTAACAAGATGTTTGGTTCATTGAATGCAGGATTATCGGAAGAACCCTTAATGCAATATAAAAATATTGGGTGCAATACTTATAAAATTATGTAATCTTACTTATCTAAATTAGAGAACTCCGTCATAAAGTTGATTTATTTGGATCAACACCATTAGGCATATTTAAAAATCTTGATAATGCTGGTAAAATACTAATATTTAACATATACATTTATTGTTTATAATAGAGAATCCTAATCAAGATAAATATGGTATGCAAATTTGGGACAAGTTGGAACTGAGGGAATTAAACAATTATGTCAAGCAACCTCCCATTAATTCCTTTGAAGATTTAATTGAAAAAACTGAAAAGGGAATTATATGGCCTTTTCCAATTAATAATGAATTAGGTTTGCAATTACTTACATTAAAACTATTATTATGCATTAACCAGATATCTTACAATATATTCAACTAAGTATTTTTATATTTTATTGTTATAAAAAATTATTAAGGTATGGAAGAGGAAAGCAATATTCCCTTTTATGAACACATATTTGTTTATGATTATTTCTTGAATAAAACTCAGAATTTACCTGATTCAAACATTTTAAAACTATCCGTAATAAAACGTTTCATCGAATTAGTGTGTGTTGGATTAAGTAAAAACCCTAACTACACAGTTAAAGAAAAACGTGAGACTATTGATTGGTACTTGGATTATTTCACAGAAAAGGAGAACATAATCCGTACATCATACGAAGATGCACCTAAAGAAAAAATATTAATCTCATCATGATTACATTTTTTTTCTCCTTGATCAATAGATTCCAATTTATTTTAGTTTTATTTTAAATAAGAATAAAGTATTGAGTAAATTAACTACAAGTTTATCTAAGTTGGATGACCCACCTACCAATATCGTTAATTATATCTTATCGATTATAATTGTAAATAATCATTCTTATTTTATATATTTAAATTTTCAATACTTTGGATTGCTCTTTGGACACATTATACTAGCTATAAAAAGTAATATTTGAGTAATTTAAATTTGTTGATTATAGTTTATGTATAAAAAAATATATTTTTATTTAGTCATAAAATGGTATTAGTAATTGTCGTGATATCATGTTAGTGTTTCAATTATTTCAAAAAATTTGGGTTGTTCCTCTGAGGAATAAGCCACAAAATTCGATCATTTATATTTATTTATTCTATTAATTAAAACAATCAATAATTTTATTTGCAAATAAATTAAAATATATGGAAATGTTTTCATTTGGCCTATTTTCAACGAATATGTATGTAATTTTTTTATCTTGCTTGAATGATATTTAAGTAACTTATTATAGCTTGGCTCTAAAAAAGTATTTAGAGAAAACGTATTTTTATACCTTTGAAAAATGGACATGTAACTAAAAAAAATTAATTATCAATATATAAAATTAAATGTTCCATATTTAAATTGTATTTAAAGATTAAATGGATTTGGAACATTTTTATTATTTAAAATTAAGAAATTAAAGCAATTTTTTGAAATAGCAACATTTTAAAAATCACATGACTAGATATATGTAGTTTTAAAGATATGGAATACTATGATATTATATTGTTATGCAATTTATAACGATATAATGTAAATAAAATAATTATAATTTTCTTTAGAGATTTGGTGAGGCTTGGATCATTGGCAAATAATAACAGTTAATACTGTTTAGCGGTTTGGAACTTGTCAATTTTTTTAAAATTCTAAATTAAACTCATTTTTAGAGTTAAATATAATGACAAATTGCTTCTAAACTTTATTTTATTTTTTAAATTTCTAAGCCTGAGCTGGTGTAGTATCGTAAAATAAATTTAAAATCAATACTTGGGCTATAGGATAGGTATTTACTAATGCTGTACGCGTTAATTTAAAAAAGAAACTCGTTACGTCCAAAAAAGGAACGCACGTTGCTGGCTATTAAGAAAGTAATGCATTACTCCTTATTTGATAAATTAAATATATATATTATTTTTCAATCTATAATATAGAGTAGAGACCTGCAAGCCCGGGTTGGGCACTATTTTATTTTTTTTAATATACACAAGCCAAACCAATTTTTTTTTAAAAAAAATACATATATTTTAAAAAAATCAGGGCCTGGTCATACACATGGCATCTCTGATAAAATACATATATTTTTAAACAGAACATCAATGAAAGACTTGTCATTATCTAAAAATGTTTGTAATTTGAATTTATCTTCATCAAATTGGACATTCTCTTTAATAAGACTATTAATTTCATGGGATTATAAAAAGAGTTCCATCTTCTTCTTATTTTTCCTTAAAAATGGCTGAACAATTTCGAGACTGCCCATGTTAATTCCACAATTAAACAAATATTTTAGTTGGGGTACAATTTTACAAAGTGTAGACTTTGTACCCTTAATTTTCTTTATCGGTGTAAAAAATGTTTAATATTCGGACTGGAGCAGGTTAAATCATTTTCATCTGAAAAAATATGTACGATATAATTCTCTTTAAAATATAATGTTAGCGAATACGATTATAAATTAACATATCTTGATTGATATATTAATTATATTACAATATTGACTGAAAATTTAAAATAAAAACAAAAGAATTTGGTGGATCTGGCTTAAATAATTTAAAATACTTTTATAACAATAAATGATGTTTTTTCTATACTTTTTTAAGACAAAAATTTAATTAACGTTTTGCATTACCGTTACTCAAAAAAAAAGAAACGCGTTACTCATCACCTCTAGGAAAAGATAATGAATGGCTTTACATTTCTTCAAAAAAAGGTCGATACTTTACAATTCTAGTATTTACGAATTTTAAAAGCATGACTTAAATGACACTAACAAAAATCATTATCTAGTTCAAAGTTTTATAATTCCTTTTTTGGAATTTCTAGCCAATATCAGTTTCAGTATTCAAGCATTTAAAATTTATATAATTTTTATGAAGAACCAATAATTGCAATCATTCAAATCTTTGGCCGCAATGTAATTTAGAAAAACAAAATGATTTAAGAATCATTAAACCTACCTGAAACTGTTTAAACAATTTTAAATATTAAAATCCCCAGATTAAACAATCGTAATTTTTTCAAATTTGATTTACTCCCTAAATTCAATCAACAATATTGAATTTTAGGTTATCGAAAAGATGAAAGAGGTCAATTAATGTGTGGGAAAATTTCCCAAGTTTTAAAAGGGCTTTTTAATGTAGAACACAATATCCTCAGCAGCACCAGTAGAAAAGCCATTAAACTTTGCAACATTACTATAGCTCTAATGAAGACGTTTAACTAATGACCTGTTTGAAATATTGATACCTTTTAATTCAATATCGTTGATTAGGGTTAGAATAATTGTGGCATTACTAAATAAGTCTAATAGGCTAGCTAAAGACCTGTTGGAAAGTTAAAGATAAATTCAAATCATTTATTAATTTAAGGGTAAAGAAACAGCTTCAAATCTTAGTGTATACAATCCTTATTTAAAGATTATGAATGATATTCCATTTTGCAACAGAATTTTAATTACAATTTGTTGATTCATTGATTTTTTTATTTAACTTAAATTGTTATTATAGCCTTAAAATATATATTTCGTTTAAATTGTTTTTTTTTATAATACATATATACCTTATTTTATATTTATTTTTAGTATCATTTTTTAGTTTTAAAATAAAACAACTATAACTTAAAACCGTTTTTCTTACCATCGTTATTGTTATATAACATGGTGCCCCGGAATGATAACTCACAATGATATATAAAAAAATCTCATATATATTGTGCATATCCCGATAAATATAAAAAAATAAAAAAATTTTTTTGAAATTATGTAATAAATTATAAAAATTATTCGACATAAAGGACATACAAGATAAAAAAAAATTTCTTTATGCTAATGTAAATAAAGTTTGAAAATAAAAATTTGGGAAAAAAAAATTGAATACATAATAGTGACAATATGTATCTTTGCTAATTTAAATAAGTTTTTAAAATAAAAATCTGCATTATGGATGATAAAATTAGCATATCCTCCAACAGGGAAGTTAAGTTCCCAAAGTTGGAGGGATGCTTGACGGACATATATTTGGAGAGACTTGACGATTATTTCTCTCAAACAATTTTATCCGACTCAGTAAAAATTGAAACATTGATGAGCAATTTATTTGATGATTTATACGATAAAATTTAGTCATTATGTACTAAGGAAGATATCAAAGATTATAAAATTATTATTAAAAATTAAAATTTTTATTACCCAGTCAAGATATTTGGATATTGACTGGGAAGTTTAACCTGCTTCACAAGGTATTAATGAATCATTTTTGGATTGGTTTTTTATTTTATTAATAATGATGATCGCATAAAAGAAAAATTGAAAACATCTAGTGTAAATGACAATATAAAAAATAAATTAAATAAAAATATTAACTACACATTAGATGAAATGATTGAAATAGGAAGAAAATAAGATAGTATTAACATTAAATCAGAAAGTGACAATGTTAATTATGTTTTTAGTAGGGATAAAAATTTTAATAAAAATAATGACAATAATAGAAATAATGATAAGAATTTAGATACCCAAAGTATTTCTAATAGGAATGAGATATTAATAGTAACTATAATAGACTTAATTATTATTCGAGTCAAAATTTTGATAGTAGGAATAGAAATCATGGTGATAACAATTTTAGTAATGTTAACGACAACAGGAATAGGAATTTTAGTAAAGCTAGAAACAATAACAATTATAATAATAACAACTATAGAAATGATCAGTATAATAATAGTAACTATCAAAATTACAATTATCGGTATAACAACAGCAACCGAAACTTTCATAATAATAATCATCAATCTTATAACAACAACTATGGTAGGAACAACGCCTGGTTTAATTATAATCAGAGGAGGCAGATTCAATGTGACGATCAAAATCATAATAATTACCGATCTTATAACAATTCAAATAATTATGAAGGAAACAACAGGTGGCATAATAAGGATAACCAAAGAAGACAAATAGAATATGAAGATCGTTATCAGTGGAAGGATTTTAATCAAAGAAAACAAATCCAGTATGATAATCAAAACTTCTACGATAGCAATAATTGTAATGAATATTGAAAAATTTGGGAAAATAAAGTTGACACTGCCAAAGATAATAATGAGAATGATTTCAATGGCAACAACTTGGCTGAAAATAGAGACAAAGGTCATGATAGTGCTTTTATGACTACTTTGAAATTAAATAATATTACTACTACAGGACACTGGATCAAAATATACCATCGTACCTCATAATATGGCTAAAAATATTGGTATAAGAGAAATGAAGAAATCCAGTTTGCGACTTACAGCCTACGACGGAAACTTGATTAAAATCATCGGGACAACTCAGGTTAAAGTAAGTTATGAAGGAATCACTAAATATTTACTAGCAGTAGTTGTAGAGTCGAGATAAAAAGAATCTGGATCAATGCCTTTAAAAATATTTTAAATAAATTCATAGGAAATGTCGATACCAATTATGAAGACGAAATCAATAAACTTATTAAAGATTGTGAATCCAAATTGACTAGCGAACCAATTAACAAAGCAAATGTCAAATTATATTTAAGATGTGACGCACAACCTAAAATAATACCACCAAGACGTATACCGTATTCAAAGATTGATCTTGTGGGCGAAGAACTGAAAAGATGGATACACGAAAAAATTATTGAGCCTGTAAATGATGTGCGAGTCCTATAACCGCCGTATACAAAAATGATGGGAGCATCAGGCTTTGCGCAGATTTTAAAGACACTATAAACCCAGCTCTCGAAGACTTGAGATACCCACTTCCACGTATAAATGATCTTATAGCTAAACTTTCAGAAGGACAAAAATCTACCAAAATCGATTTTAAAAAAGCTTTTCTACAAGTTCCGAGCGATAAAAATAGCAGAAAATTTTTGACTATATCCACACATAAGGGATACTACCAATTTACCAGACTTCCTTTTGGGTTGAAAACTTCATCTGCCATATTCCAACAAATCATGGATCAGATTTTCGGTGATATGAAAGATGTTATATTTTATATTGATGACTTATTAATAACTGGAAATAACGATGAAGCATATTTAAACAACATCAAAAGGTCTTTGAGAGAATATTATCGTGCGGGTTAGTACCTAACTTCGCCAAAAGTTTATTTTTTAAAAATAAAGTTATTC